ACTATATATACAGTATTAGAGTGTGTGTGTGTGTGTGTGTGTGTGTGTGTGTGTGTGTGTGTGTGTGTGTCTGTCTGTCTGTCTGTCTGTCTGTCTGTCTGTGTCTGTCTGTCTGTATACAGTTGTGGTCAGAATTATTGGCACCCTTGGTAAATATGATCAAAGAAGGCTGTGAAAATAAATCTGCATTGTTAATCATTTTGATCTTTTATTTAAAAAAATTCACAAATATCTAACCTTTCATTGAACTAAAACAATAGAAAATGGGGGAAAATGTCCCCTAGCAACCACCTACTGTAGAAACAACCCAAAACATCCTAGTAGCCACCAAAAAAAACAACCAAAAAACCCTAGTAACCACCTAGCAACAACCTAAAACTTCTTAGCAACCACTTAGCAACAACTTAAAACAACATAGCAACCACCTACTGTAGAAACAATCCAAAAAATCTTAGTAGCCACCAAAGAAACAACCAAAAAACCCTAGTAACCACCTAGCAACAACCCAAAACTTCTTAGCAACCACTTAGCAACAACTCAAAACAACATAGCAACCACCTACTGTAGAAACAATCCAAAACATCTTGGTAGCCACCAAAGAAACAACCAAAAAACCCTAGTAACCACCTAGCAACAACCCAAAACTTCTTAGCAACCACTTAGCAACAATTCAAAACACCCTAGCAACCACCTACTGTAGCAACAACTCAAAACTCCCTAGTAACCACCAAGAAACAACCAAAACATCCTAGTAACCGCCCAACAACCCAAAACATCCTAGTAACCGCCCAACAACCCAAAACACCCTAGCAACCACTTTGCAACAACTCAGAACATCCTAGTAACCACCTAGCAACAACCCAAAACACCTCAGCAACCGCTTACTGTACTAACAAACCAAAACACCCTAGTAACCACCCAGCAGCAATCCCTAGTAACCATTTAGCAACAAATCCCAGCAACCACTTAGCACCTTAACAAGTTCACCACTTATAAAACCCTAGCTTTGCGCAAGCAACGGCAAGGTCGTGGGTTCAACTCCCAAGGATTGCATGAGCGGGTGAAATGCATACCATGAATGTGACGTAGTTTTATTTATTTAATCCCAAAAAATTCACATTGGAGTGCATGGAGTGATTGAGGGCAAGAATGAACAATAGTCCTGCTGCTGCTAACAGTGGCCATTATTACTGTGCATTGTTTATTTATATCTAAACAAAGCGTTGTGCCTCGGTGAGCGTGAAGCACTGCCTCTCTCTGCTGCGACGTTTCGTGAGAACATTAGACGTCACAACTCAATCTCCCGCAGTCATTCGATATTAAAGACCTGCTGCCTCATGCACAAAAACCAATAACATTTCCACTACAATCCGTTTGCCCTGAGACTCCTGTTAATGTGTGTGTTGTGTTACTTCAGTAGTGGGATCGTGATCTGTTCAGTTATTTAACTTGTTGACCTGAGGATGTTAAAGCTGTGTCATCAGCGGTGCTGTTTTTACTGTGCCATTGCCGCTGAAGTTATTTTGCATGCTAGATAGGCGAGGAAAAGTTCTTACTGTGCCATCATGGCATATTTCTAGGTCAAAGGGCATGATGAGGATGATACTGTCTAATAAAGGATTTTTATTTAGTCATATCAGGGAGCTGTGTATCTGAAACTGTACACAAAAAGTACTGAATAAATAAATCGTCAATAGTATTTTAGATTATAAAAAAAACCCCTCAAAAGCCTGAAACCACAGAGCCCCACATAACAAATCCCAATTTAACCCCTGGTTAGGTCTATGTTTATGGGCAATAATGTTGATCCAGGATCAACAAAAGAACAAAACATGTCTTACTTGGCAAAATCACGGCCTCGTTCTCTTTGGGTGAGCGTGATTTCACCAAAGTACAACATGTTCCTGGAACAACATTCCAATCGGCCAATCAAAATTGAGGGATAACTATTTAAGGAAATATCGATCAGGGTTAAGGTTTAGGGGTAGGGATTGGTTTAAGTCTATATTTTTGGACCGTAATGTTGATCCAGGAACATGTTTTACTAGGCAAAATCACGGCCTCGTTCTCTTTGTCTCTGGCAGATCCTGATCCGTCTGCTCGGTTCCTGTCATCCGTCTGCTCCGGGCTGCTCCATGCAGGGGAGCGGCTGATCCATGGGCTGACTGAAGCTGGGGAAGCTAAAGGTGGTTCGGCGGCAGCTGCTGCAGCGCTATGAGCACCAGCCGTTTGTCTCGTGTCTGGCCGGTCTGTACGGCTGCCAGTGGAGACGCTACCAGCGCGCCAAAGCCCAGCCGGGGGAATGCTGCTGCAGTCGGGTGAGGAAACAGGATCATTACGGTGCTTGGAATCACTCCTGCTTATGCTTTTCTGCAGTAATGGTTCCCATGCAAGTTTTTCTAAAACACAGTGAGCTGCCTACATAGACGCACGCATGTTTAGGCATCACAGCACTGCATGTTTTGGTGCTGGGATGCTCAAAAAGATGGACAGCAACATAATTCAGCTTTATAAGATTTTTCTTTTGGTTGCAGTTCTCGCAATCCCAGCATGCATTGCAACGAGTTGACTGAGCAAAGTCCCTTTCAAGGAAAGCCCTATCTAAATGAATGTTTGGGGAATCCCGAAATCTCAAAAACTGCTCGCTGAACTCGCAATTAAACTACATATTTCAAATATCTGAAATGCAATTAAAGTACATATTTCGAATATCTGAAATGGCAACAAAATCTGAAATGAACTGCCCCTTGAATGTTGTCTCTTATGCTCAAATAGTGTTTAAAATGTTTATTTTTCAAGCTAGACCGGCCAATGCGCATGCACAGTTATATCACGCATTGGCTGGTCTAGCTCAGGTTTCTATGGGAACCGGATTGCTGTGATGCAGTGACTTTACCAATCAGTGATTGGCTCTTTCATTTAGAAGGAGGGACTATTCTGCCATATTTCAAGTTGCAGTTTCTCCCATTCATAAATACAGGAGTGAACCATCTTTGTATTTCTATAGTCTTTGGACTGAGGCAAAAATGTAATATTTCATACAGTAATGAACAGTATCAATAGCAAATCCGTAATATTTTTGTGTGCTGTCACTGTGTAATTTTATGCTTTGTAGATTATCACATTGTTATACTGGCAATATAATATAGCAATATTATCATAAACTAAAAGTACTAAAACCCTTTTTGTTAACTGAGATGCAATTGAAACTTTTGTTTTCGTTTAAAATATTGTAAAAATATTTTCAGATTTTTTTAAATTACTTAATTATGTAATTGCATTACTTGACTGATTTAATATATAAGGCATAGATGAACTAAAAAAACTGTGCATTTATTTTAATCTCTCAATAATTATAGATCTCTGTTCCTTTCAGAGTTATTATTGTAAACTAAAACTATAAAAACCTGTTAATTGAAATTAAGCTGAAATGTTTTACATATAATACATAAATATAATGTTTTATACATAAACTATTTAACTATATAAAACTATATAAATTGTTTTATAAAAACGTTTTAAAAAAACACAAATTAGATGTTGCTACTGTGTGTGTGTGTGTATATATAATGTTATATATATATATATATAATTTGTTTTGTTTTGTGTGTCCCTATGGCTTGTTAATTATATAATTACTTTACTTGATTAATTTGACACATATAAGGCATAGATAAACTAAAAATACTCCATACATTTTATTTTAAAACATTTTTCACCAGAATTTGCACATCCCTATTCATCTCCATTATATTTGAATGGGTTATATAAAATTCAAAAAAATAAATAAATACTTATATTGAAAGCAAAATGTCATGCATTCACTGTGTTTTGTTTTTGTTTGTTTTTTGTCCGAAATATGTAAAAAAAACAAAAAAAACAATTCTGAATGTTTAAATTGTGTGTGTGTGTCTCTCTGGCTAATTAAGTATATAATTACATTACTTGAATTACACATACTGTTTAATTTATTGTTAAATATTATTCATCAGAGTATCAGGACTTTGCATGTCCCTAATCGAATGGGGGTATATAAAATTATGTATTACATAAATAAAATGTAATGCATTCACTGTAGTCCATCTAAAATATTTTACAAATATTTTCTGATTTTCATGCATTCACTGTGTTTTGTTTTTGTTTGTTTTTTGTCCGAAATATGTAAAAAAACAAAAAAAACAATTCTGAATGTTTAAATTGTGTGTGTGTGTCTCTCTGGCTAATTAAGTATATAATTACATTACTTGAATTACACATACTGTTTAATTTATTGTTAAATATTATTCATCAGAGTATCAGGAGTTTGCATGTCCCTAATCGAATGGGGGTATATAAAATTATGTATTACATAAATAAAATGCATTCACTGTAGTCCATCTAAAATATTTTACAAATATTTTCTGATTTCTTTACATTTTTATTTTGTGTGTCCCTATGGCTTGTTAATTATATAATTACATTACTTGATTGATTTGACATATTATGCATGGATGAACTTTTAAAAAAACAATTTAATTTAATTTTACATTTTTAATCAGAATATCAAGAGTTTACATGTCCCTATTCATCTCCATTATATTTGAATAACTTATATAAGATTTAAAAAAAAATTATTTAGCTTTTTTAGAAAGTAAAAGGTCATGCATTCAATGTATTTTTTGTCAAAATATTCTTTAGAATTATCTTTGTCCTCTGTTCCTGGACTTTTAACCAGTTACATTTATTCATTTAACAAATGCTTTTAAAAATAAAATTGCATTTGATGTCACATTGACCTTTAAAAATAATAGTTTGATCTTTTTTTAATGGTGTGCATGAAAATCAACACAATTTAAAGGCATTTTGGCAGATGGTTTTATCATATATTTAGCATTGGCATTGCTGACAGTTCTTATCATTCCATTATTTTCATATTTATTCAAGTTTTAAATGAAATATTCAGATAGGAATGCCCCCAATCCCTGAAAATGACCTTGGTTGAGTAGACTCATTGATTGGTCTGTTGGTTTTTGAAGCCTGTGCTTTATTCCTGCAGGTGTAACTTCGGGAAGCTGGGCTTCTGGTTCCCGTGGTCGGTGGTGTTGTTGGTGCTCGCCGCGGCTCTCTTCACCTACATCGCCCTCCTGCTGGTGAGAACCGTGAACTGCAGCGGAGCAGAGCGCTTCAGTATGGCTTGCTCCTGATGCTAATGTTGTGTTGATGTTGTGCAGGTCCTGGCCGTGTGTCTTCTCTCTGAAGGACAGAGGCTTTACCTGCACTGGAGCCACAAGGTGATCAAAGAAGCGTCTCTTCATCGTTCGTCGTCTCGCTCATTTGTATTCATCCTATATCTGCGTCACCAGAGAAACAGCTTCAGATGATTCACAGATTGTGTTGAACCTAAGATTAAATCATTTATGATATATGTTTTTAATGCTGAATAGAGCTTCGCTAAATATACGGCAGTTTAAAGTGTAATTTCGGGAGCTGCTGTAATGAATAGAAATTGTATTTTATTCGCTCTTAACACAAATGTTGTTGTGGTTTTAGGCTCCAACATTAGCCAAAATGCCAGAAATATTTTGCTGTGCTATCATTTAAAAAAAAAATTTTTTTAAGAAAAACAAGATATTGTTATTTTAGGATTGTGTTTTCAATATTTTGAATTATTTTTCAGTTTTTTTTATTTTATTTGAATGTTCATTTTAGAAATGTTGCTATGTGCTTTTGTCATTTTAGTAGTTTTTTTATTTCAGTTTTATTTTTCAGTAATTTTAGTACTTATTTTATTTTAGTTTGTTGCCAAGACAGGTCTTTAAGTTTAAGCTTCATTTTTTAAATTTTATTTCTGCTTTATTACAACAATTTAGTTAATAGTTTCAGTTTTAGTTAACACTGCAGGATTGTTATGGTTAAAAAAAAACTAATAAACATTAACTGAAATCAAATCTATAAAAATAAAATATATTTAAAAATATATAAAACTAGACCTATTTATTTCAGCTAGTTGCCTTTGCTACATTTCTCATTTTTATTTGATAAACATCTCGATATAATAAAATAACAAACTAAAAATTAAAATGACTAAAAGCTATATAGATATATAAAAAATAAATAAATAAAACAACAAAAGCTTAACTACTACAGTAAAAAAATTTTAATATTTTAAATAATTTACATGTCCCTATTCAACTCCATTATATTTGAATGTGTATATATATGTGTGTGTGTGAAATATATAAAACTAGACCTATTTATTTCAGCTAGTTGCCTTTGCTACATTTCTCATTTTTATTTGATAAACATCTCGATATAATAAAATAACAAACTAAAAATGAAAATGACTAAAAGCTATATAGATATATAAAAAATAAATAAATAAAACAACAAAAGCTTAACTACTACAGTAATTTTTTTTAATATTTTGAATTTTAAATAATTTACATGTCCCTATTCAACTCCATTATATTTGAATGTGTGTATATATATGTGTGTGTGTATATATATATATATATATATATATATATATATGAAGTTTGCTCTTATTGAAAGAAAAATGTTATGCATTCACTGTAGTTTTGTCTAATTTATTTTAAATTTAAATTAAATTATTTTAAAATATTTTCAATTTTTAAAATTTTTATTTAATGTGTCCTTACTTTTAACTAGAATTAATATGTGATTCTGGAGCACAAAACCAGTCATAAGGGTCCATATTTCGACCCTTATGAGATTTATACATCATCTGAAAGCTGAATAAATAAGCTTTCCATTGATGTATGGTTTGTTAGGATCGGACAATATCTGAAAATCTGGAATCTGAAGTTTCCAAAAAAAAATCAAAATATTGAGAAAATCATCTTTAAAGTTGTCCAAATGAAGTTCTTAGCAATGCATATTACTAATCAAAAATTAAGTTTAGATATATTTACGGTAGGGCGTTTACAAAATATCTTCATGGAACATGATCTTTACTTAATATCCTAATGATTTTTAGCATAAAAAGAGAAATGTATAATTGTGACCCATACAATGTATTGTTGGCTATTGCTACAAATATCCCCCAGCGACTTAACGCTTTTGTCATTTTAGTAGTTTTTTTATTTCAGTTTTATTTTTCAGTAATTTTAGTACTTATTTTATTTTAGTTTGTTGCCAAGACAGGTCTTTAAGTTTAAGCTTCATTTTTTAAATTTTATTTCTGCTTTATTACAACAATTTAGTTAATAGTTTCAGTTTTAGTTAACACTGCAGGATTGTTATGGTTAAAAAAAAACTAATAAACATTAACTGAAATCAAATCTATAAAAATAAAATATATTTAAAAATATATAAAACTAGACCTATTTATTTCAGCTAGTTGCCTTTGCTACATTTCTCATTTTTATTTGATAAACATCTCGATATAATAAAATAACAAACTAAAAATGAAAATGACTAAAAGCTATATAGATATATAAAAAATAAATAAATAAAACAACAAAAGCTTAACTACTACAGTAATTTTTTTTAATATTTTGAATTTTAAATAATTTACATGTCCCTATTCAACTCCATTATATTTGAATGTGTGTATATATATGTGTGTGTGTATATATATATATATATATATATATATATATATGAAGTTTGCTCTTATTGAAAGAAAAATGTTATGCATTCACTGTAGTTTTGTCTAATTTATTTTAAATTTAAATTAAATTATTTTAAAATATTTTCAATTTTTAAAATTTTTATTTAATGTGTCCTTACTTTTAACTAGAATTAATATGTGATTCTGGAGCACAAAACCAGTCATAAGGGTCCATATTTCGACCCTTATGAGATTTATACATCATCTGAAAGCTGAATAAATAAGCTTTCCATTGATGTATGGTTTGTTAGGATCGGACAATATTTGAAAATCTGGAATCTGAGGGTGCAAAAAAATCAAAATATTGAGAAAATCATCTTTAAAGTTGTCCAAATGAAGTTCTTAGCAATGCATATTACTAATCAAAAATTAAGTTTAGATATATTTACGGTAGGGCGTTTACAAAATATCTTCATGGAACATGATCTTTACTTAATATCCTAATGATTTTTAGCATAAAAAGAGAAATGTATAATTGTGACCCATACAATGTATTGTTGGCTATTGCTACAAATATCCCCCAGCGACTTAACACTGCTTTTGTGCTGCAGGGACACATATAGAAACAGAAAACGTAAGCATGAAACTCATTCAAAATGTAGTCTAAAGTCTGAAGTGAAGCTAAAATGCAGCACTGCTATAATTAGTATTATTTTGCCCAGATTGGTATCCTGGTGACTCTCTGCTTCTCGATCAGTGCCACAGCTGTGCTCTCCGACTTACGGAGCAAAGAATGGACGACGCTGCTCCTTTCTTTTCAGGTGAGTCACTGACAATCTTTCCACTTTACCTCCGCTACAGTTCCTGTAATGTGTTTGTGTTTGTGTTTGTCCTGCAGGTCACAGCGCCGTTTCTCCACGTGGGCGGAGTTTCTCTAATGACATTTCTGTCCTGGCCAATAGCCTTACACTTCTTTCGCATGAACAAGAGAGGTACGTGATCCTGGTCACTGCTGGCAGCAAATGAAAATGCGTAGTGGTTCTGGTCATATCCTATTTCAGCCAGCAAGCATCTAGTTGTTTTCAACAGGAACGGTGGTTCTGGGCTCCGCAGCTGCTGGTCTCGAACCAGTCTCCAGTGTTGAACAATATAATGCAATATACATGCTTTTAGCTGACATTCCTGTTTTTTGTTTTGCAGCACACCAACTCAATATACTTTATTTTCCCCATCCATATATTTAAAGGAGCAGCGAGTAATTTGAGACTTTTTGCTATTTCCAATTTGATAAAAAATCCCCCCCCCCTCCCAATTTTTCAGGACAATCAATTTAATGAAACCTGTCAGGAAGAACTAATATACTATGTGTAATGTATATATATATATGATAATATACTATTATTTATTCATATTTTTAATTTGCTTATATTTTTATATTTTCAGCTTTTATTTGAATTAGTGTTTTTTATGTGCTTGTCTTTTTTTGTTTGTTCTGTTTAACTTAGATTTTTATTTTTTTTTAGTTTTAAACTAAAAAAATATATATATAGTAAAATGGAAAAGTTATTGGTAATTTTCTGACATGAAATGTTCCTTTTCTTTTAACCCTAAAACACAGCGCGATGCATTACATAATTCAAAATATGAGGAATTTTGCCTCCATCCAGAGACACCGGCCCTTTGTCCCGACATCGCCTCTCTCTCTGAGCCGTATACGCATGCGTCAGTTGTCAGAGCTGTCAGTGGCTCTTCTCTTTCTGTAATTCCCACGTTTATTCAGGCTGCTAAATGATTGCAGAGGCTTCGTGAATTTGGCCGTGATGGTGGAATGCTGACCCAGTTTTGGTCAGATCAGAAACCCTGAAACTTTTGAAAATAATGGTTGTATAAGCTCAGCTTCAGTTATGTTGACACTCTAAAAAAACTGTAGAAATGGAGAACAATGTACTGTATTAAAATTAAGGAAATTTCTGTTTTGTTATTTTTACCTGTATTTTGAATTTTGCACTGTATGGATTTGTGTTTTTAGAGTTAATCGAAATGTCTGTAAAAGTAATGGATAATGTCCTGTACACACGCGCACACACACACACACACACACACACAGACACACTTACTTACACACACACACACACACACACACACACACTTACACACACACACACACACACACAC